AACTTTCCCCTCTTGCTTGCATGATTAACGAGTTTTCCTAAATGGAAGTTGAAATAACTATCCAACATCAGCACCTCCCCCTGCACACCTTTTATGCTAGTGAATATTCGCATCGAACACTCGATATTTAAAATTACATTTTGTCTGATGAAAACCGAGTTTATTAACACATACGCACTGAGTGTTATTATTTGATAAATACAGAATGTGATCTTACATATATATACGGTAAAGTGTAGGCTGATAAAATTCAATAAGGACAGATGACGCCATAGACAAACATGATATTGTATGCATCGACCGATGACGTTATCGCCGAAATTTTTACCAATCATGGAAAAAAGAAAAAGACACATTTGCGTCTGGTCTTGAAAGACACTTAAACCTTCTTTAACCCTCTTATGTCTTTGCGTTCAGGAAATTTTTTAGACACCGAAGAGGTGGCTACTTTAAGGACGGCCCTGGAGCAAGACAAGACCCTGGAGGACAATTACTATACCAGGGACGATGGGGAGGGAAATCAGGCCAAAATGGCCAACTGGAATCACCCTGTGGATGACATAACCGGGATGATAGGGAGGAGTGACAAAGCTGCCGGTACCATGGAAAAGGTAGCTACATAGGCCTCATACTGTATAGTCTTTATCGACTGTCGTTCATTTTTCCTCGACTGTAAAATCATGATTTCACTGCACAAATTGTTTTACCTAATACTACGCCTTATTCCTTACATTTTTGAAGGGAAAATCACAAAACGTGTTATTCAATTAATCTTACTTAGACTGCCAGGCTTCAGTATTCAGTTAAGATACTGAGATTATTTATCTCTGTGGAAATTTGTCGTCCATTTTAAGCCTATAAATTAAATTTTGTATCTTTAGTAAGCAAACAAATTAAAAAATTCCAATCTTTGATTCCAGCTTTTAGGGGGAGAGGTATATCAATATCACGCCAAAGTCGTCATGAAAGAACCATTTACAGGGGGTGCATTTGTATGGCACCAGGATTACGGGTAAATTTTTACTGGACCCCTTTTGTTATTATTTCGATACTATTTTAATAAAACATGTGTCATAGCACATTGTACAAACGTGTAGGTTGCCAAGGTGAAAATTTAAAGGGCCTACAGCCAGTATAGAATAAAGCTGCCCGGTGTCATGTGTACGGTCCGTTCTGCGTGAACCATCCGTCCTGGCCGATTGTACACGCAGCAGACACGATATGAGCCGTTCCGTGAATGATCCATTGTAATTCACCTGTACTGTTATATTCGGCTAGTTCATTTCCTACCTCATTATACATTAAGTATGATGGGGATATTTCTAGGTAAAATTCATGTGTTACTTGATAATTTTGATAGAGAATCAGCGTCAAATTACAGTTCGACGCATGGATGAACCTACTGTGGACGGGCCGTCGTTATTCAGCTGTTGGCCTACTATTTCAGTATTGATTTTATTAGGCTAGTGTGTTGATATGGCCACCTGAGGAAAATCACAGTAGAGGTGAACATCTATAAGATATGAATACTTTATGTTTGAATTTGCAGTATGTTCTCAACAGCACATGTTTATTAAAGGCTAAGAATGTATTGATGACTCGAGAGAGTCTTTCAGATTTGCCTGCGCTTTGTGCGCATGAGCAGAATGGATGGTACACGCTCCGAGCGGTACACGCCACACATTTGAGCATTAATTAGCCCCACGGTGTTTACGCACAAGCTGATGAGTCTACATTTTAGGTTTCAGTTAGAAACAGTTCCATTTAGGTCAAAATGAAGCCATAGCAAAATTTAGAAAAGGCATTTGTTGTTAGATGAGTTTTGAATCACGATATCAAGAATATATTCCCATATTTTCTTCGTATTGGTGGTTATTTACTGCCCGCCCTGCTAATTGCTATTTCCAGTGATTGGTACCATTACGGCAACTTGTTTCCAAACATGGCTACTGTGTGGATTGCTGTGGACAGAGCAGACAGGACAAACGGGTGTCTACAGGTAATGAAACACGAGTTGTAGTACATGTAGCTATCATTAATATTCAAAAAATCCATCAAGGTGAATGCTGATGCCAATGTTCAATTCTATACAAAGAATGATTCAAAAGCATGAAATATTGATGTCTCTGCAGTCCTTAAAGGAAGCATAGGTTACTCCTACTTAGGCGACACCACCAGCTTCTCTTATTGTTTTTTCCTATAAAGAATGTGCATAGTGACGTCCGCTAACTTCATACACGCAAAGACAAGTACCTTTCAAAGCTATTCCTACATGTCCGCCACTGTATAGATTAGACCAAAGAGACTGTATTTAATCACCTCATCCTTTATATACGTGCAGATACTACTTGGCTCCCATCAAGCTGGGCGACTGGAGCACGTGAAAGTCGGTGAACAAGCAGGGGCTGACCCGGAACGCGTAGAACTCCTTGCCAAAACCTGCCCCTTGACCTACGTCCAGCTTGACCCTGGGGACGCTCTGATATTTCACTGTAATCTGGTCCATCGAAGTGACCAGAATCACAGCCAGAACCGCCGTTGGGCTTACCTTGTCTGCTATAACCGTGCATCCAATGACCCAGTGTATAAACATCACTATCCTAACTACACGCCCCTGATTAAGGTGGGCATAATACATTCCAATATTATCATAGTTACGTTCATTAATCTCCCATTTTTATCATTTTTATATTTGTTTGTTAAATATGCATAATGCGCCACATTTTAAATTGAACTTTGCCGAATAGACCTATGGCGTCCATTTCACTATCAACTCTTTAACATTCATGTGCCCTTTATATTGTTTTGTATTATGCATTACCTTTATGGGCTACTTTTATTGTCTGCCCTTCTTTTTTAGCTGACAATAACGGAATATTTGGTCGATTTTAAATAAGCCAGTAGTCATAACATTGGCAAAATATGAAAGCCCCTTTCTCCATTTATTTGTAGGCAATTTCATTCCCCTAAACCTACTATTTATTAAAACAAAACAAAACATTACGTCAAATGCAAGTGGTCCATTATGAAATATTATAGCGATTGACGTGCCGCTTTATTTTTCATAACATATCGTTCCTTTCTTATTTCAAGGTGCCGAATAGCAGAATAAAGGAATGTGACACTAAAACATCCACCGAAGGAAAGTTTTTTTTCAAGGACCCTCTAACATCCCGGCCTTCTAAAATAAGATGCAAAACTATAGTACCAACAATAAAATTATTTTGCAGCAGACAACAAGCGCACCCTGTGGTCAGAGAAAAACATGCAATTATTTACACAATGGGAAGTGAATGAATCTCCAAATCAAACGGCCATCTGATTTTGTCTGAAAATATATAGTAATTTAGCAGAGCACCAAATTAATTTTTTGTTTCAATTATTTTATGATTGGTGAGGAATATACTATAGCTGTAGCTCTTGTGATATTATGCTCTTTTCCTTTAATTTTTTCAATCAATTTCTTTTAATATTTTAAATTTCATTAAATATTTTGCTTCAATTTAAGCTTCATTTGGGTGAATGTCTATTGCTTATGCACTGAAAATGCTACGTTGTGCGTACTATATATTTATTTCTTGCAATATCAGAATAAGAGCATGCAATAAATACACAAATTGATTATGTGTAAAGAAAATGTGTTTCTCCCTCTTCATTCAAAGCATCTTGAATATCCTTTGCTGACGTCGGATTATGGTACAAAACTGATTTCATTTTATTAGACAACTTACTCAGAATTACCAAGGGAGTTAAGATCTCAAGAGAGAAACGTTGAAGTCATCGTTTAGTTTATTGACAACCCTGGCATTTTAAAAATGATATGTGACCAAAATTTGGCTTTCTTCGTCCCAAATGTACCCATGAAATACAGTAAAGGTGCTTAGCTTACCTATGCACCGATTCGGCCGATTTTAATTAGCATATGCATCGAAAGGTTCACCTATTATTATTAACACCCTTGATTACGGTATTGCATGGCATAGTCGAACGCTCCTCTTTACTCGCAATTAAGACAATTGCGACGTCCTTTATCACGACTAACTGCTTTTGAAATGACATTAAAATACAAATATACCAACCGATCTTTTGGCCTATTGCCTTGGTCAGGTATTGCTAATATGATATGTTATTTTTTATATTTTGCATAATTACACCGTTGACTTAATCCCCGACAAAGGAAATTAGCAGGGCTCAGCTAGTGTATTTGTGCAATCATTTACATGTATAATATATAAAAAAACTTGGTCATAATAAAAATGCCACAATTTCACTGACGACGGAAATTAGTTATACATGTATGCATAGCTACCGTCTTTATGCAATCATTTACATGTATAATGTATCAAACACTAATAAAAAATGCCACGATTTATGTTATTATTTTAAAAAATAATTTGAAATATTTAAAAAAATCTTGTATCGAACCTTTTAATGTATACCATTAAGATAAGAACACACACACACACACACACACACACACTCTTCTATAATCCTAGAATCGATACAGGTGTATTTATTTTAGTAAAGTTCCTGATAAGATGTAAATGAAAACGTTTCTCGATAGCCAGGTCCTACAGTACACTGAATTTCTAGACATAAGCCTGGTGGCTGATCGAAATTAGCCTCAACTTTAGACGTAACCGCAAATGTGTTGTTAAGTTTGTCAAACTGACAAATGCACTGTTTTTACACAATTATGTACAATGCCAGCAGATCAAATTTTCTGTTCTGACATTTTATTTTTCAATCTTCTTGTATTCACGTAACGCGCTATTTCTACATTATGATGCCACCAATGTTAGAAAACTGAGGGCCCTTGTAACATGATAAACAAGTAAATGAAAGCTGAAAAAATATCGTTGACAACATGATAAAAAATCTACCACAACTAGATTTCCATCTGCAACCTTCAACTATGTCTGTGTGTAGCCAAGTCATTTAATACAGGTGAACGTGATTAGCTTGCATACATTTGCTTGCAGCGGTACACGAGTGAAAGGATGGGAGAGTCTGTAAGAACGACTGACGGGACAGGTAACTTTTGTTTTTTTTCAATGATATTGACCTGTCTATATAAAGATTCAAGATACTTTATTTCACTCTCACCCATATAAAAAGAAATGCAAAATTAGAAGCAGTAAAATATTGCAGTTTTATATAAAACTATGAGAAACTGAATAATACTTAAAGTATACGTTAAAGCATTATTATACATAAAACAGTTAGTTCCATAAATCGGCAGAAGGTATGGCAACTAAATTATATCGTGTCATTATTAATAGTCACAAATAAAAACTTGTTCTGATCATTAAAAAGATCAAAATTATCTTTAAAACGCCTAGCAATATTAGTTTAACGCGTTCATAAATAAAGGACAGTTAACTAAGAAGTGGACCTCGTCCTCAATACACTTAGATTCACATATACTAGACAGGTTCTTTCCGCAATAGCTAAATTTTCATATCGAATTTCTATTCGAAATGGGGTCACCACACGCCTCACCTTAGCAGGTGCGCTTCGTTGTTTATATATATATAAGTATATTAATATATAACGTCATGACTGACGTGTATTTAAAACACTTATTGTTGGCCCAGGAACAATTGTCGGCAACTGTGTGCAGACTGCTTATTTTGATTTATTATCATAGGCGTGTGTCTTTGTTAGCGAGAGAGAAAAGGCAGACTGTAGTGTCGAGTGTGTCTTTGGATGAACAGAATGGCCTATTTATTGTGATGGTGTCGTGAGGATAAGTCCACAATCCATTGTGATTTCCATGAATGATGTTGTGTTAGTAAATTTGTCTCACTGAAAGGTATGTGTTTTAAATTTTAGGCTACCAATATACAGATAACTTTGCCGTTACTGACGAATTGAAAGAGCAGTTTTACAGGGATGGTTTCATTATATTGCGGTAAGGCAGTAAACAGTTTCAAAACTTTGCTCCCCTTTTTGCAAGATTAACAAGTGTTCCTCCGTAAATATAAAATGGAATAAATATCCAATATTAGCCCCCCACGCAGACCTTTAATACTAGTTAATATTTTCATCGAACGCTTAACATTTTTTAAATTAAAGTTTGTCTAATTAAAACCGATTAATTAAGACCCATACGAAAGGAGTTATTATATGATAAGAACAGAATGTGATCTTATATCCGGCAATGTGAAGTTTAATAAAATTCATGATAGCAGATGACGCCATCACCCAATGTGATATTGATCAACCAATGACCGACATTAAATACCGACATTAATTAACAATCACAGAATAGGACACATTTATAACATAATCAGTCAGACTACATATATGTGGTGTGACAGCGATGTTGCAACAATTGACTCGAATCTCGGAAGACATTGACATACAGGCATTCATTCACTTGAACCTTTTCTAGCCCTCTTATGTCTTTGCGTTTAGGAAGTTTTTGGACACCGAAGAGGTGACTAACTTGAGAATGACCCTGGAGCAAGACAAGACCCTGGAGGACAATTACTATGTCAGGGGCGATGGGGAGGGATATCAGGCCAAAATGGCAAACTGGAATCACCCTGTGGATGACATAACCGGGATGGTAGCGAGGAGTGACAAAGCTGCCGGGACCATGGAAAAGGTATCTACAGTACATGTAGGCCTCATATCCTTTGCCGACTGCCATTGATTTTTCCTCGACTATAAAGTAATTTGACTTCACAAATTGTTTTAATTGACGCTAGCACTTATTATTCACAATTTTGTGAAAAAATATTAAGACTGGCTTTAGCGTTCAGTTAAGATACTGAGATTATAGGCCTACATACATATCTGTGGGAATATGTCGAGTATTTTAAACCTATAAATTAAAATTTTGTCCCTACAGTAAGCAAACGAGTTAAATAAAATTTTCCAATCCTTAATTTTAGCTTTTAGGGGGAGAGGTATATCAATATCACGCCAAAGTCGCTATGAAAGAACCATTCACAGGTGGTGCGTTTGTATGGCACCAGGATTACGGGTAAATTTCACAGGACAATGTTTTTTTTACATTATTTTCACATGTTCACTGCATGCGCCATCGTTCAATGTATGATCCAGGAAGTTGTCAAAGTAAAAGTGAAGATTGTGCATCCCGTTTAGAATAACAAGGGCTGCATAAGACATTTATGTACTGCAACACTTGCATTCACATTACCATTACAATGAGGAGGAGAGCCTGTGTGACAGGAATGGAAGTCCTACATACTGTATAGGAACCAAAGCCTGTGGTCACATTAAGGTTTATGCACGTTGGGGTTAGTAGGAGTATTGGGGTTGGTATATGGGACGAATTTCACGTGTACAAAGTAATGTGGAACGGACTACGGTTCCTATAGCGGACTACCATTCCTTTCAATTGCGCTGCTTCTACAAAATTACGTATAATATCAGCACTCAAAGTTTTCTGTCCCAACATTTTATTTTTCAATAGCCTCAGATTCAGGCAACGCACCACTTCTACATTATGATGGCACCGATAGGCCCGTTACATGATAAACAAGTAAATAGCAGCTGAAAACATATTGTAAACAGCATGTCTCAACGCTTGTTGTCACATTACTATTAAAAGTGTGTGAGAGCTGACTGTTAACACTTTTCAAAGAAAGAAAAGATGAAACCGTGAGTTAATAATAATAATAATAATAATAATAATAATAATAATAATATATTTATTTCAAGTCTAAAATCCATAAAATGTTCAATAGACTGTACAACATAAAATACAAAGAAGTTTATAGATAAAAACGGTTAAGATATATTTTATATAAATAAGAGCTAAACTAACTTAATTGTAATAAACAGTAATTTAAAGTAAAAAAATCCAAGGTTTCTTTAAAATTGTAAAATTTCAGATTCATGAATAAAATGTCTTAAAAATATGAGTTTTTAATTCCTTTAAAAAATTTGTTATCTTTAGTCATGTTTTTTGGCCATTGGTATTAGCCTAGTATTTGAACAAGCTGTTGAGTTGGCGCATTTGAACAAGCTGTTGAGTTAGTACACACAGTGTCATTTAGGTAAATATCATGTAATAACAAAATTTAGAAAAGGCATTTTGTTTCTGATGAGATTTTACTCAAAATATAAAGAGTAAATTCTCATAATTCCTTAATACATGTATGATAGTTATTTACTGCACTTGTGATTACTGCTATTTTCCAGTTCTTGGTACCTTTACGGCAACCTGTTTCCGGACATGGCCACAGTGTGGATTGCTGTGGACAGAGCAGACACGACAAATGGATGTCTGCAGGTAATGAAGCTTGTCTTGTAAATAGACACCTTTAACTTTCACAGAATCCATTGAGGTGAATGTAGATGTCAATGTTCATATCTGTCCAAAGTGTACAAAGAATGATTTAAAAGCATGAATTAATGATGATGTCTCTTCAGTCTGTAAAGAAACCATTGGTAACTCTCACTTAAGTAAAATATGTAGAACACATATGTGACACAGGTATTGCATATTCATTTGCCTTACATATTTAGGCGACTTATCACCGCAATTTTTCCATGCATGCAGATTCTGCCAGGTTCTCATCGAGCTGGTCGAATAGAGCACGTGAAAGTTGGTGAACAAACAGGGGCTGACCCGGAACGCGTAGAACTCCTTGCCAAAGTCTGCCCCTTGACCTACGTCCAGCTTGACCCTGGAGACGCTATGATATTTCACTGTAATCTGCTCCATCGAAGTGACCAGAATCACAGCCAAAACCGGCGTTGGGCTTACCTTGTTTGCTATAACCGTGCATCCAATGACCCAGTGTATAAACATCACTATGCTAACTACACGCCCCTGATTAAGGTGCGTATAGTACAATCAAACAATTTTTTTCAGTTTCATTCATTAATCCACTTATCTCATTAATTTCACTATTTTATTCACTTTTAATTTTTGTTGTTTACATTTACATAATACATAACATTTAAAGTTGCACATAACTGAATAGACCCTTGGCGTCCAATTTACTATTAGCCCCTTTAACATTAATGCACATAAGTGACTTTACATTGCTTTGTATAATGCATTATTTGTATGCTCTTCATTTATTGTCAGCCTTTCATCTTTAGCTGACAAAAACTGAATATTTGGTCAATTTTAAATGCGCCAGTAATCATAACATTGACAAAATATGAAAGTTCCTTTCTCAAATTATTTATGCAAGCAGTTTCACTCCCGTAAACTACTGCACTGTTCCTGTCAGAAAAGGGTTTGACGTCACATGCAACAAATCCATTTCGAAGCATTAGCGATTGATGTGCCAATTAAATTCATAATAACGCAATATTGTTATTTCTTATATCAAGGTACAGAATAGCAGAATTAAGGAATGTGGCACCAAAACACCCACTGAAGGAAAACTATTTTCTCATGGACCGAAAAGAGAGCCTGACTCTGCTATAGAAGTGCTAGAGAGGAAGGCCTAAACTACAGTATAATTTAAGATTTTATTCAGACACCGATCAATTATGAGACACAATTTTACCGTATGTGCTAGATGGTTTTCATTCTATTAACGTTCTGATGACAAAGGCATTTTTTGCTTTGAATCTTTCTTATTGCATATCAGTAACATATCAGACGGTTAGGATCGAAGAGGCTGTGCACTGGTGCCAACATTTTACATACACACGTGAATACTTTTGTAGAATCTAAATTTACTTTGAAAGAAGTAAACCTGATCTTCCCGTGATAAACACCCCTTCCTCGTCCCAACCTGGAACTCTGAACTTCTAGTAAGACCCCATTTCCAGAGATTAGATCGATCTGCTTTAGATCGACCTAACTTCCTGGGGGTTCACGCTAAATAGCTGTCAGCCCAGAGGACACGAAAGTTAATTACCCCCTTACAGCTTGTAGTAGGCGGGACGGACATTTAAGCCGGATTATCTGACAGTAATCTAGTGAGACTCCCCGCGGGGATAGATCGATCTAAAAGCTCTGGGAATACAGCCTAAGTCACATTTTTGAAACACACGCTGTACTATAGACTCCGTTCACATGAAAAATCTATTTTCCAAAAATCTATTTGCTATTCGCGGTATCTTGTGATCACTCCGAGCGCAGCCGAGAATTAATTGCAGCTTTGGAAGTAACTGGCTTGCGCTACCAGTAATTACGCCGCGGGGTATTCAGGGCACAGACCGTGATCACAAGATATCGTGAATAGAAAATAGATTTTTAGAAAATAGATTTTGCATGTGAACGGTCCCTAAAAACGTGTCCAATCTGAACCGTAGGTTAAATGTTTTTATCTAAGGGCTCGTGAATCATAGTTGGGAGGAACTTATGATCAACAAACAGTTACGATCAGGGATCTACTTGCAAACAGTTATTGCTTTACTACATATAGTAAGGTTATATACTCTACATATATTTGTATGATCCCGCTGATATCAATGGCTACTAAAATATTGTAAACGAGTCAGCGATACATAATGCGATAATTTTGTATCAGACTACTAGCGCACTCTATGGGCAGAGAGTAACATGTACGTAAGATGGCCGATTGAAATAAACATGTATATTCTGATTTTGTTTAAAAATATATAGTATTTTAGCAAAGCACCACATAACTTTTCTTGTTACAATTATCTTATGAAACGTTAAGGAGTCCACTACATCAGCAGCCCTAGTGATATTATGCTCTTTTCCCTTTTTTGTTTCATTATATTTGCTTCATTAAGTATTTGCTTCTAATTTAAGCTTCTTTTAGTTGATTTTCTATTTCGAATGCAGTTTAAAATACTACGTTTAGAATATTTTAAGTTTATTCCTCGGATAATCTATCATAAGGCAATGAATACGTGTACTGATTATGTTTAAATGCTGCCATAGAAGGTTCCAGGCAGTAGAGTGATATGTTAAAATAATCCATTAAGTTTGCTCAAAGCACT